TCTCTGCTGCTGCTTCTGCTGCTCGAGAGAGAGAAGGTGAAAGGTCTCCAGGTTCTTTTTTCGTTTTTTAATGAATACCTTTGCCTTTTCTAAGAACCAGTGCCGTTTCTTCCCCAGCTGAGACCATGAAAGATAGACTGGAAAATAGATCATTTAGGTGATTAGGAAATATTTAGTGTGCCAGTTGTTGGTTTTTATAAAATTGCATTTTATGCTTTGTTGAATGAGAGGAACATTATTTTCTTGAACAACGCTGCCCTCTTCTGGAGAGCAGTGATAACGCTGTTGCTGTTTCTCCTTTAGCTACCAGCCTGTTGTTTTTTCACAAGAACCTGTGTTTTCTCTAAATTGTTCTCCATGACGAAAGCATAATGGCATTCCGGCTATATAGCTGCCAAAGTAGCAGGCTCTGGCCTTGAGATTTCTAAAGCAGAACACCATGCAAGGGCAAAATGCTTCATGATGTTGCCTCAGCTGAATGAATAATGTTAGTTACTTTATTGTTTTTTCTTAGGCTCTTATAATCCACTGACCCTGGGTCTGTTCACACTGAGCTACTTCATCCTGGCCTGCTGGACCTATGGGCTGACAGTGTCTGCTGGAGTCTTTATTCCCTCCCTGTTAATTGGCGCTGCGTGGGGTCGACTCTTCGGCATCCTGATGTCCGTCCTAGCTGCAGATGAGTCGGTGAGTGCCGAGTGTTTCGAAGAAAGCTGGAATCTGGAGGAAATTGATCGCTCACACCTAGGAGAAGATTCCGTGTTTTCAAGCAGTTTTGTCGCCTGCCTGTTAGTGCTTGCAGGAGATGCACGTGAAGCAATGGTTTTTTAGTTGAAGACTTAGTGCCTCTGTGTCTGTGATCTGTTTGTTAGACGTGGGCGGATCCAGGGAAGTATGCCTTGATTGGGGCAGCAGCACAGCTTGGTGAGTACGCACATTCATTTATCCTGTGTGTGGTCTCCATTCAGTCCATGAAGGACACGGGAGTACTAGGGCTAAGCTAAAAGCCTTTGTCTTGCTTCCTTAAAGCTGGAAAAATACAATGGATAAGTCTAATCCCCAAACTTTTCGTGCTAAGAGAATTCCTTTTAATCGTTGTCGAAGTTAGAAGCCATATCTCTGCTGCTCTGATGGGCTCTATTCCATTGAGCTGCACTCAAGGAAAAACAGCCTACAATACTGTATTTTTCTCATGTACAGCAGATACAGAACAAGAAATAAGATAAGACCACTTTATTGGCCATATACAATTTCTTGTATTAGGACTTTGTCTTTTCGCATACCCCAGCTTGCTCTCCATGAGACTAACAGACAGGGAGATTAGCTGGGGGTCAGAGCCCAGGGTCAGCCATTTATACGGCACCCCTGGAGCAGGGGGGATTAAGGCCCTTGCTCAGGGGCCCAACAGAGTAGGATTCCTCTGCCAACCGCAGGATACGAACCGGATCCTTAGCCACAGAGCCACTGCACCGCCCAATGTGGTGTTGATGTGGGATTCTGGGATTGATCAGGAAAGGAAATGTTTGCTTGACAGTAGCAACAAGAGAGACCTGATGGCCAAACTCTCAAGAACAGCCTGTGTGTTGCCATTACTGACCTCTCTTGGGGTATTTCAGCTTACTTTCCAATCCACTCAGAAGTAAACAGCTGCCTGCCTGCTTGGATGCTTGAATAAAATGTGTTAGTACGGTTTCTTTGGAATCCATTGCGCTGGGTGGCATTATTGGGTGTTGATGGTCAGGGACTCCTGCTGAGCGGAGTGCTGGATGGGGAATTTTCTTGGCGCAGGTGGAATCGTGCGGATGACGCTCAGTCTCACTGTCATCATGGTGGAAGCCACAGGGAATGTCACCTACGGACTTCCCATCATGCTGGTCCTGATGACTGCAAAGATAGTGGGCGACTATTTTATCGAGGTAAAACGGATCGAGCTTTGAGGAAAACACAACAATCCTTAATTGTAGAATTCTAAAAAATGACCACTTTAACATCTATATCAACAGCCTCATGCAGTGCGTGACTGCTGACATTAAAAGCAGTGTGAGATCTGATGTATCTAAAGGCTAATAATAATGATATGAGAATTGGTTTAAGTAGACTTAAAAAATAAAAGGAACATGTTTCATCAATATAAGCTGGCAGCTTGTCTTAATGTTAAAAATGCCAGTCTCATTGTCACGTATCAACTTTTTTTAAATGGAAATATTCCAGTCTCATATCTGATATTTGGTTAGGCTGCAGTATTCCTAGTATTACCTCTGCTTGTCAGCAGTTCTTCCTGATGGAAAGTGATAACCCCTGGGAAGTTTAAATGCTAGGTGAGACATTGCTGATGTATCTAAGAGTATGATACTTCACCCACACAGCTCCAGTAAAACACTCAGCTGTGTAAATGGGTACAGATGTGAATCACTCTGGGTCAAATCATCAAATCAGTAAATGGAAACGTAACCGGTTGGTTGTAAGTGTGTTTTCTGTCTTGTCGTGTGCAGGGATTGTATGACATCCACATCAAGCTGCAGAGCGTGCCTTTCCTACACTGGGAAGCTCCACACACCTCTCACTCCCTCACAGCCAGGTCAGCTGACCGAACTCGTCCCCAACGCAGATCTGCAGCAGCAGTTCCAGTCAGACAGGGGCTTTAGTGAGATGCGTGTGTCTCCTGCATTCTTACCGGGAATGGGACATGTTAAGAACCAAAAGTTGTGCAGTATCCTAAAAGCTGGGAATGCTTAGGTGTTTTGCAGAGGAAATGCTTTGTCATGCATTTTATTGGTCAGTTAAAATCCCTGCAAATTGAATTTAAAGTTAAACTACAGTGCGAGTTGTCAGATGACTGAAATTCTTTGTGCTGGTTTTGTTTACCATAGTAAAGTAGGTAGAAATGGAGCAGCATGTTGGGAGTGGCGTCTTGTGATGGGCTGGTGTACCTCTGCGGCGTCCTGCTTTGTAAAGGTCCGTTCTCTCACTTGGTTCCAGGGAGGTGATGAGCTCTCCAGTGACGTGTTTCAGCAGGATGGAGAAAGTGGGGGTCATTGTGGATGTGCTCAGCAACACGTCCACCAACCACAACGGCTTTCCGGTGGTCAGCGAGTTCACGGACGACGGCGAGGTGTGGCTCTCCTTGCTGCAGTGGGCCGGGGGCGGCAGCGCATGTCTAAATGACACGCTAACCTGTCGTGTGGCACGGTGTTGCTTTGTGCCAGCATAACCAAGTATGCTGTTTTTAAATGCTCTAGACCTGTCATCACGAAGGGCTGGTAAAAAACATAATACAAGGATGTTTGTCTGTTTTTATTCTTCTTCGCCTTAACGCCTTTGTATATACAGCGTTTGTCAATATTTCTTTTTTTTTTTGTCTGATTATTTTTTTCCTTCTTTTTTAACAGCCCGGGAAGATCTGTGGGTTAATTTTACGTTCACAGCTGATTGTCCTGCTCAAACACAAGGTGAGGTCCACGCACTCTTTCATAGATACTCTGGCGCTGCGGTGCTAGGGTTGTTTGACATAAATCCTATTGACACCCATATGGCATTTTAAAAACCGTTCCAACCAAGGGTTTACCTGTGTAGCATTCCCTTCATAGTTCATTACCCTGATAATGCCTTTGCAGCAGCACTCAAAGAGAAACATTCAGGTTTTGTGGTGTTGGTATTGCATTTCCCTGGAAGCAGCTGTTTCCCGGCTGTGTTGTGCAGCTGGTTTTGGACAGCAGGGGGAGACAGTCCTGACTGCCTGCCTAGGGGTGATACAGACTCGGGTGTGTCTCTCTCGCCCCAGGTGTTTGTGGAGAGAGCTCACTCTCGCCTCAATCAGCGTAAGCTCCAGCTGAAGGACTTCCGGGACGCCTACCCACGGTTCCCCCCCATCCAGTCCATCCACGTGTCCCAGGACGAGCGGGAGTGCATGATGGACCTGACGGAGTTCATGAACCCCACGCCCTACACCGTGCCGCAGGTGCGAGCCGGCCTGTCCCATCAGGCAGTGCGGTCGCGCGTCCAGAGAGCTTAGCTTGAGCCAGCTGCTGCGGGCGCTGGTGCACAGGTTTGCCTCGAGGGCTTGGAGTTGGCAGACCAGCATGACTCTTCAGTCTTCTCTTTAAGAAGAGAAGAACCTTAAACCCGACTGCTTCTAAATAGTCCTAGTCACTGCAGGTGACTCCTACTAATGCACCTGAAAATCCAATTGAACCCAAGCCATGTTTTTTCCCAGATAATGTTTTTGCGTGCTTGGAAAACAAAGCACACATCTGACTACACCGAGGTTCGTTTTTTAGTAGATGTGAAAACGTCTTTCTGCGTTTTTTTTGGATTTTCGGGTACCAGCGATTCCAAAACGCTCTCCTAATGCCCTGAAATCTTGGTGTTGTTGTGTGAATCGCAGGAGACGTCCATGCCCCGTGTCTTCAAGCTGTTCCGAGCCCTGGGCCTCAGACACTTGGTGGTGGTGGACAGTGACAATACGGTAAGTTTTGGAGCGCAGAGCTGGAAGGGATTTCACCAGCAGCTGAATTATTTCTCCTTATTTCTGGAGGTGTTAATAAGAAATGTGTGTCGGACATCACTGGGCGTGTAAGTTGTTGTAGTCCCATGTCCTCTTTTACTCCATGCTATTTATAATAAAGGAAAATGTTTTACATGCTGAGCGGACTGGGATGAAACTTGATGTTAGCAGTGGGGCAATCCTGCGTGTCTGGAAGCAGTGCTGACTCGCGCCCTGTCGTTGCAGGTGGTGGGTCTGGTGACCAGGAAGGACCTGGCTCGCTACCACCTGGGCAAACACGGGCTGGAGGAGATGCAGCTGTCACAGACGTGAGGGGACGAGGGCGGCCGCGCTGCACGGAGACCGGGCACACCACTCTGCCCATACCCCTGCTGCCCGGAGAGTGTCAGCAACTCTCTGCCCAGAATCGGGGCTTCGTGGGCCAGCGGGGAGGGGAGGGAGAAGGCTCTCAGATCGCAGAACAGTAACGATGCCAACATTCACCCGACAGCACCATCTTTAAAACAGTTTAGCTTTATTATTTTAGGAGGGCTCTTTTGTTTTATAGGTAGCGATGGCTGTTTATTGTTGCTGCTGTTGCATTTCGCACAGAGATCTAGGTTTGTTGATTTTGATTTTAGCGTGCAAACATGCTGTCTGTTATGATGTAAAGAAATAGTAAGTCATTTCGGAGTGATTTTTCATTATGTTTTCACTGCCATGTGCCAACAGTCTCCTTTGTAACAACGGTCAAGCGATGAAGGATTCAGACACAAAAGTAGCACAGTTTGCAGGTTTGGATTGTCAGTGCTGACATGTATGATCCGTGCGCAGCAGGTTTTAGCAAATAATTTTAGACATCAACTTAAATGTTGTCCCTGCTTTCATGTAATTAAGTGACAGTTGTAACACAGACCCACACAACAGGCTTTTTAAGGTTGAAAAAGATTTTGCCAACAGGTATATTTCACATTTCTGTTCTCCCATACTGTGCTGATTTCCAAGATGTTTTGATCTGGTTGTTGCAAACTTTTCTAGGTACAGGTTGGAGTGGTGTGCAGATCTTTTGAAATTTTGTTAGTGCTAACAAAAAAACATTTCTACATAGAAAATGTGATAGATATACTGTACTTAGCACCTGTTTGCCCACAGATCTGTATTACCTCCGTCGATCTGCAGTGCACTGGAAAGGATTTGCTAATTTACAGCAGCACTTTGAGGCTGAAATATAAGTATTGTAAAAATATTTTAATTCTTTAAGAAAAGCATTAGATCTATAACAGTAATTTACAAGTTCCAAGATTTGTAGACAGAAGACAACTGTTCTAGATAGAGACCGGGGTGTTTTGTGGAGACAAGCTCTGCTAACTTTAACATGGGTTAAAGTTAGGAGGGAAGATTATAATTACACAAATAGAATCAGGAACTTGCTTTATCATCTCTGAACGAATGGGAAGGAAACTGTTAAAGATGTACCTTGTGTGTGACAACAGACTGTTATCCTTACAATATCCCAGATACTAGAAGATGAGTCCATGAAAAGAGAGGTAGTTAACAATCCACATTTGGCTGGTACTTCCTAAGTGTTATGTGAGTTTGTGTATATGTACAGGCATGTAATATAAAATACTTTTTTTTTACTTTAAAACTATTGAAACATTTGGACACTTTATCTATATGAATTCCAAGTGTAACACTGTTACCGTGTATATATTAAAAGATATCTGAAGTTAAATGACGTTTACAGACTCGTCGAAATGAAATAATTACAAAACGTTTGTAAAATAACGTACAAAATTAACGGAAAGGGCAGGAGTTTTATTTTTTATTGGTTTTATCCTTATTTTCTGCTCAGTCCGTGTTAATTTTAGAATTCCTGCTTTATGTACACACGGTGGATAATTTTTCCACCATGTGCGCCTGAAGATTTAGTGAAACTCTTCCCCAGTTGCTGGACGTTTTTATTTCTTTTGCCAGCTATAAAGTTGTGTGTGCTCTCGGCTCTCCTCACTGCTCATTTCAGCTTTTGGAAAATAACTGTTGCTTTTTGCTCCTGGACATCCAGAGTAGTTCGGTTAAGCTGGTCAGCTGATTTTAAAAACATGCGTGTCCGTCTTTTACGGTTTGCTTTTTGGACAGTCTCTGGGTTGCTGCTACGCTATGAGGAAGAAGCCGCTGTTTGATAGCGGACAGATGGGTTTATGAAACTTCAAAAGACTGTTTATGAAAAAAAAACTGCTTAAAAGACTAAGCAGTTCTGCAAAAACAACGTCTCTGCTGGAGCCTCTATGACCTCCACCTGTTCTCCCCCTGTGTGGGATTTTTGTGCACTGTGAGATGTATCCCCAGGTTGATATGGGTGATATCAGCTGTGTTGGAAATGCTTTTCAACACCTTCAGACCGATTATTAATCCTATTGAACTGCTCAGTGGAATGTTCCTGCAGCTGACTGTGGAGAGGAGACCCCACTTCTGAACTGCCTCGCTCTCAGCCTCCTCCTTCCTGTACCTCTCATTCCATGAAGAACAGTGCCTTTTGTCTTCACTTCAATGTTTCTTTTACATTAAAGGCATTTGTGCAAAGGACATTGAATCTGTCAGTTTAAAAGCGGCAAGATTTCAGCAAAGATATTTCGTGTGCTTAAGCTTCAGGTTTGTTGAAATCGTGTCAGTTATTTAAAATGTTTATTTCCCTCATATGCGTGTATAGTTTTTTTTAGATAAGCTGAATTTAAATATGATGTCTAAAAATGCTAAGAAATTGTTACAGATTTTGCTGAATTTTATACCCTCTGTGATTTGGGGGAATTGTGTACTAATAAAGCTACAGATTGATAATAGAAATTATGTCTTGAGATCTGCTTAAAGTGTTTTGTCCTTATGAAGAAAGGAACTGACCACTTTCTTATGAAAGTCAGAGCTGTAGATATTGACAGTCTTGGATTTATGAGATATTTCTCCATGATCTTTCATGAAGTGTTTGTACTGCACTAATCAAGCGTACCTCTTATAGGTATTTTCTCTGTTGATGCACAGATACTGCCTTCTGTGTTTTATTCTTCTTGGGCTAGAAATGCCAGCAGCCATATCACCTTGCAACTCACAACTGGCAATCCACTGAATCCCAGCAGGTGTGAGCCTGGCCAGTACCTGGATGGGAGACCTCCTGGGAAAGCTAAGGTTGCTGCTGGAAGTGGTGATGTGATAGTGGGGCCAGCAGGGGGCGCTCACTCTGTGGTTTATGTGGGGCCTAATGCCCCAGTATAGTGACGTGGACACAGTACTGTAAAAGGGCGCCGTCCTTACGGATGAGATGTAAAACCGAGGTCCTGACTCTCTGTCGTCATTAAAAATCCCAGGGTGTTTCTCAAAAAGAGTAGGGGTGTTACCCCTGGGTCCTGGCCAAGTTTCCCTTTGGCCTTTACCAATCATGGCCTCCTAATAATCCCCCTCTATGAACTGGCTTCATCATTCTGCTCTCCTCCCCACTGATAGCTGGTGTGTGGTGAGCATACCGGTGCACTATGGCTGCCGTCGCATCATCCAGGTGGGGCTGCACATTGCCAGTGGTGGAGGGGAGTCCCCATTACCTATAAAGCGCAGTGAATGGAGTGTTAGTGAGAATTTTGCTAGAGCATTTTCAAAACTGTACTGTTGCCATAAATGCGGATGACCAGAGAGGGGCAGTGGTGCACCAGGTTGTCCTGAAAAGGTTTTGTGTAACAACTACATTCAGAACAGTCAATGAACTGTTCATTTACACAGTGCAGAAATACATCATGCAGTGTAATATAAACAGAACAGAGGAAGAATTCCAAATAATACGATACTGAAAATAGTAAATGGGGCAGGATTTACTGCAGTGCTTGGAGACATCATGCTGTAGGTTTTGAAGGTGTGGTTATCAGAGTGTTTCCTTCTCAGCTTTGCTAACACATTGTAGTTTTCAGATTGCAAAGAGCTTTTAAATGTGCCTTTCAAGCAATTCAAGCACAGCAAAGGACTATACTACACTTCAGGTGTTAATAGTGTTAATTTCCTATTTGCTTCTCCTAAATTGCCTAACCTTGTCATGTTGGATAGCATTGTGGAGCATAAGGAATTTGTATGTTTGTATGGGTTATGTTTCAGTTTTGCTTGAATGCTGTTAAATATAATTGCAATTTTAAATAAGTAGAAATAATTTAGTTCATTCTCTTTTTATTTGCATTCAAAGTGTTCCACTTTCACAATCGCAAAGACTATTGTGGAGTCTTGGCTGTTACTGAACAGAGCCAGGTTACGCTGTTGTTCATGACCCACACTGACAGCAGGTGAAACAGTTTGTAGCTGCTGTCTTGCCCTTAGAGTCATGTAGAATGTTAATGGAAGAGCTGTCTGAATGTGATTCTGATAGTCCTGAAATTTGGCCTCGACTGCTCTGTAAATAGTGACAATGGAGCTTTAATCTCTCAGCTGAATATGATGAGGAATGTGTTAGTACAAGCGTCTAAAGCATCGAGAAATACTGGGAAAACATGAGATCTTATTTACTGAGATTACTGAGCTGCCAAGTATCCTCGGTGTTTTACATAGCCAAGGCTTTTACAGCCCAATCAGCATGATAATCAGTGACAGGCTACGAGAGAGATGACATCCGTTTTGAAGAGGAAGAGTGACAGATCGAGATATTATACAATATATTCTTTAAATGTCGGGGACTGTCAATACATTTTCTCCTACTGACACGCCAGCAGGTCCAGATCTCCTAATGGATACGTCTGGCAGCGCCCATATCAGATGTGAGTAGCTGTTTAATATGGGTAGGAACCTGAGCTTATATTCTATTTATTTCTCCAAGCTCTGGCTATGGCCTTTGGTGTAGAAATTACCCTTTTAATTATAAATGATAAATAGCTATTTGTAAGCCTTAAGTCTGAGAGCTTTACAGTATTTTGTTTGAATTGGTTGAAAAAAATTAAGGTCTTTTGATCTTAACATGTCTAAGTACAATCCATTTACCTCACTTAGTGATTAGGTGTTTAATCCAGTACACCACAATATTCCTTTGGAGTTGTTAGAGTAATCTCTTTATCTGTGCTTTGTATTGCATATTAGGTCACTGTTCTAACAGTGGCACCTGGTATCGTTGCTGTCAAACAGAGATTAACTCAAAGTGCTTTGACAATCTACATCAGTAGACTGAACTGAAAACTTTTGTGATCAAAACCGGACTCAAGGTTAAATTCTGGTTTCTGGCAAATTTGTCCTTGAAAATACCCCTTCTCTATAAGATACATATCTGCAAAATCCATCTGGTAGAAAATATATATGTATTTACAGTTTGTTACCAAGCTGCATAACTGCATAAGCATTTAGATTAAGAGCGATGAAAGTATCTGGTTTTAGGAGAGCAGGTTACTGACAACATAACTCTAGAGATAGGGTTGTATTGCTTTGTATGAACTTTTTTAAATATAATAATAAAGTCGGCTGGGCACCCATTCAAGACTGCCACTTGTTTTATCAGTGGGGTTGCCATTAAGGTGTAGGATACTGAGCTGATGGCTTGTCACTGCTTCATTGTGTGACTGTGAAAGCAATGTCTTGTCTTGTCTTTGACATTCCTCTTATTTCAGATACACCCTAAACTCAAAGAAATACACAAAAAACATGCTGAAGAGTGAAGACTGAGCACAGGGGATCTGCAGGCTGTCTGAGCCCTCTTCTCACAGGGGGTACAGTGTGTGCACACATGCTGAAGAGCGAAGAGGAACAGTGTGGGAAAAGGGCTGGATGAGCACGTTCTCCCCAGCTCATGAGATGTGTGCAGCCAGTTGAACTGTTGCAGTTAAACGTCACCTTGTCATTCATTCCTCAGCACAGTATTTGCAGTTTAATTCTTTCGCAGTTACACTAAATTCGCCGTTTAATGAGACCAGATTCCTTCATTTATGGCAATGTTTGAAAATGACAATGATTCTCAAAATTAAAACCATCCGTTCTTTCATTTTTCATATGGATACGGTTTCTTTAATATAGATTAGAAGTTACCTCTCCCCTTTAAAAAGGGTTTCCTACTATAATGCTGTGTGAGGATCTAAGAGACTGGTAAAAGTTTTACTTGACCCCAGCACAAGGCTATGACCGGCACAGAGCAGCAATATCATGTGGTAGCAGGTGATGAGACAAACAGGAGGTAAGCTGCATTGTGTACAGACTCCTGATACATCCTCGGTTTAAACAGTGGTGTTATTTGCTTCCTTACAGTCTTACAGCTGCTCGTCTTGAACCTGTACCTCATGTTTTCCTGTCTCAGGCTCTCAGTGCTAAAATGAATACTTTCCAGAGCACATGCGAGTCT